CTGCCCCCTCCCACATCCCAGCTGAGCTGGTGGTGCAGTGACAGATGCAGTGAATCATGGGCTGAGCTCCCAGAGAGGGGTCCTGACCTGACCCTTAGCTTTGGAATTAGAAGACCAGATTTTGGTAGGGAAGTGAGTGTGTGTGTGTGTGTGTGTGTGTGTGTGTGTGTGTGTGTGTGTTCCAATAAGTTTGAATGTTGGCTGAAGGACAGAAATAGGATTCTTGTACAAAGTAAGGAATAATGAACAATGCCTGAAAATTGTGACCATCTGAAGTCATGGAGTTAAGTGATGCCATTATAGCATCTACCTAAGCATTAAGATGCCACAGTGAGAGCTTCTTTCAGAAATTAGTGTTTCATGTATAGGGATAAATTGAGACAGTCACTCACAAAATGTACACACACACACACACACATATCTTCAACATGGAATACTTTATGCTTTCACCTTGGAATGATCCCTAAGTAAACTAAAAACAACCCTCAATTTGGAATACTGAAATGAATCCGAGGACATTGGACTTGCTTGTTTCTACTCTCAGAAATATTGGTGGAATATTTTTCCCCTCAATGCAGCAGAATTTCAGTGTTCAGTTGTCAGATCTATCAGTGCTGAGAGTCAATTGCAGTGGGGTCAGTAGATGGACCACAACATTTGTGTTCAATGAGATTAATGAGAAGCAAGAGGTACTTTAGTTGTTGGTTTTCTGGTTATTAGGTTTCAGATACCCTGATATAATAATTTTAATGTTAAGTTTTTAATTTCTTTCCTTTCTGATAAGAGATAGTACTCAGGTGAATCTAGTTTATATTATTCTTTTGGTTAAGATGGAGACTCAGCCTAGAGTTCATTATTGATTATATTATAACACTTCTAGTGATTTTATAAGCATTTGAGTTCATAAATTAACTCCATTTCTGCTTAAACACTTAGGACTGTCTCTTCTTTTTACCTACACAGAAATTTTATTAATGCAATAGATAATAAAATGGAGAATTTATCCTGGAATAGCTTTGCCTCTTAAGTAGAGAGAAAGATTGTTTCTTCAAGTCCCAAAGGAAAACATTGCAAGTCATGTCTAACTCGTGTCTAAGAAGAATTAGTTTTATTTTTATACTAATTGACTTTCTCTAAGAAATCTTCTGCCTCTTGTAACAAAATATATGAGACTCTAACACAGAATCTGCTTGACAACATGGAATTTTCTAATATTCTTTATCAATAGAGAAAAGAAATTATTCTACTTTTCCCTTAGAGGTGAAAATACAGATTTTAATCTTCAGGGCAATTTCCAAACCAAAATGTAGTTACTGTCTACAATAATTTAATGTAAAAACAAAAATGTATTTAAATCTGTAATTGTCAAAGTAATAATTCATAGACTATGTGAAAAACATAAATTGAGAGATAACATAAGAAAATAAAAATCACAATTATTTCACGTTGGTATGATTACTGTTAAAATTTTCATGCCTTTTAATCATGTTTTTTCTGGTCCTATTTTACTGTTCCCTATTAGCATTATATTGGGTTTCTAATTTTGTATCTTTAAAGATATACTGTCAAAGACTCAGACTAGTCCATACTCTAGGATTCCATATCAATTGTCTTTCTTTCATTACCATGAAGATGGAACAGAGTCATAGCTGACTCTCTAGCGGGTTTCCAAGCCTGTCATACAGAGAGAATTGACCTAATATGGTTCCAGGAAGGGGGAAGGAAAGAGAGGAGAAAATTCATTGATATACAATGGTCTCTTTCTGAGATGAATAAAACTAAAGACAATGTGAAATCAATAGAAAATCAGATATTGAGCCCCTTCTAATCGATTGGAACAGAAGATATATGAGTGACTAGTTGGAAAAAATTAATATGCTTTGTAAACTTTCACTCAGATCACAATTTTGGGGGGAAAAACACCAGACACTACAAAACACAACATAGTGAGCAAGGGGGAAAAAATAATGAGAAGAAAATGCTTTCCTTTCTCCTAGAGATGCTGGTGGAGCTGAAGCACTAGAGAGCATGGTGTGGTCTGTGGATTAGCAGTGCAAATGCTAGTGGATTACGTTGCTATGTTGTTGTTTTTGTTGTGTGACCTCGAGTCAGAACCAACCCCTAGCTGACTTTGCAGCAGATTTTCAGACGCAGTTAAGTGTGTGGGAGGAGATTATCCATTCTTCTTCCACAGAGTGGCTAGTGGATTCAAACCACATGCCTCGGGATTGCAGCAGCTTCTTGCCACTAGGCCATAAGATATAATTTAGTTAAACCTGATTAAAATTTGGATGCGCTGTTTCTCATGGGATGAATATGTTTGCACAAAAATTCTTAACAAATACTTTAGTGTTTACTTTGTGTTAAAAATGAAAAATTAGGTCATAATGGACAATATTTTTAATGCCCATAGAAAATATTGTTAACTTATTTCCTGGAAAACGGTGCCCATTTTAGTTCCCAGTACCAGTAACATTCGACAGTACCTTTCTTATTTGTTCCTCTGCAGCACTGTCATTTTAAAAATCAAACACAATATCTAACGGCATTTTGAGCTCTGGTGGCCCAGGGGCAAAAACCTGCACTGCAATCCCCAAAGGCAAGAAGTTCAAATCCAACAGCTACTTCAAGGAAGAAGGACAGTCTCTTCCAAAGAGGTTTACTGCCTCTGAAAACCCGCTGGAGGGTCAGCTGAGTCATGTTCCAACCTGATGGCACAAAGCAACAACAACAACAGCATTTGAAAGTCTAAATGTGGGATGGTATTATTTTTAACAGACTTTTCCTTCTTTGTTAAATAAAGGACTATTTGTATTTTCAGAATTTTATAAGCTGTACTTTCAATATACAGTGGTTTCTTAGTTATAAAAAATAAAAATTAAAATAGCATGTCTCTGAATTTTCATTTCATAAAAGAAATACTTTTCCTATCAAAACACTGACTTTAGATGTTAGATTTGAAAATGACAAGTGAAAGCACACATTAACTTCTAAGGGCAGGAAAGTAAAGTATCAGTGATGTTTTTATTTCTTGGTTACTTATTTAGTATATGTACACCATTCTTTCCCAACTCACTCCTCTGCCTAAACAATGCCCCTTTTCTCCCTGTGTCTTCTGTGGGGTAGAGGTGGTTTTAGAAGTGGGGAGTAGAGAAATGGATGGAATATAAACACAAAACCTAAAATTTTCTGGGCTCAGAAAGGTCTCAAACTATATTTGAAATTACTTTTGTTAAGAAAGTCCCACTATAAAGATCAAAAGTAAGTGCTTGTTCACAAATAGAGTAAGTACAGATCTATTGGAAGAAAAGCTTAGTGTCCTCAAAAAAGAGAAATTCTATTGGAATCACTATGATAGTGTATTACCAAAGGGAGAGAGCTGACTTTGAACTAAGTGGTGGTAGAATTTTGAGTGGCTGAAAAGGAGAACTGAAGATACTAGTGGTAGGAAATTAGTTCAGAAAATAATTGTTTGCAAACGTAAAAGTTACTTTTTCTAATGTCTGCTTTGGAAGTAGAAGTTGCAATAGTAATTTGATGTGGTTAAGCAACAGCCTAATTCAAGGACAGGTTGGCTGTCAATATACATTATTTACCACAGTGATCTTCTAATTTTCCCCATTATATCAACATTTAGATCACTTCTTCAAATGTTATTAATTATATTTTAACATATAGATTCCACTATCAAATGTTAAAGTCTTGCTATCTGTCAGATTATAATTCTATTGTATTCTTTGTTTCTTAACTGTGTACGGCTGTCAGAGAAGAGTCCTCTTCAGATTTTTAAACTTGGTTCAATAGGGACTTGATATTGGGACTACAGAGTCGCTTTACCTCTCTGGGTTGCCTTGCTAATCCCTGCAACATTTCTCTACCACCCTAAGTTTTATGATTTTATTATTTTAAAAATACATATATTTTATATGTAGACTTAAAAAGAAAATAATAATCTCTAATTCATTTATGAACCCACCTCATCATTTTAATCTTTGTGATTTTTTAGAATATAAATTTCAACTGAATTATTTTTCATCAAATTACTATTCTGAAATTTATAGCACACTTGATTTATTGGTTTGTTTTGTAGGCACTATGTCGTGACAGAACATAAAGAATCAAATTGTGCATGTAGTACATGATTGGCACCCAACAAAGTATTGACTTTTGTTTTACCATTCTTCACTATAACATAAAGAAAAACTTTGAAATAGTTGAGTAAGTGCAATACTAGGTAAATGCAATAAAATTCATTACTTAAATTCTCCATGTCTTGTAATACCCAATACCAGCTCTCCCAGCTTCGCAAAAGTGATCCGTATTATGTGCCAAAATAAAAAAAGAATGGACATCAGAGTCAAACTTAACTGATTTGGGCAAGTTATTTAGTCTCCTAAAGCACCATTTTTATAAATCATAAAGAACTGGGGGAAAGGAAGAAACCCCCAATGAGAAACACTGTGGGTAACCAACAAAAGCTTGTATCCAAAATTCTTGATCTGATTCTATTGCTCCCCAAAGGACAGACTATCTTAACTCTAGAACTGTACAACTTTGTGAGGCTGATGTGCTGATTTTAGAGATAAGGAAGAAAATGGATGCTCTCCTCTTCATAATGGTTCTTTCATTGGGAGCTCTGGTGGCCTAGTGATAAGAAGCTGCACTCCAATGCCAAAGGCATGTGATTCAAATACACCAGCTGGTCCATGGGAGAAAGATGGGCAATCTTCTCCTGTGCAATTTACTGCCTCTTGAAAACCTGCTGGAGAGTCAAATGTGGGTTGACTCCAACTCAATGGCACACAACCACAACAGTAACATTGGGATAAGAGTGAGACTGAAGCAGAACTGTCTCAATCTACAATCAAAGAAAAGAGTGAAAAGATCTTTTCTGCTATACCTTGTCAAAGTCACCTGACAACCTTTCATTAAAACCAGCCTGAGAGTGGTGTAATCATTGAAGTGATGAGAGGGGTTGGTCCAGGTTTTAGAATCAAGCATCACTGACACAGTAAGAAAAATGTTTTCCCACTACCAAAAAGTTTACCCAAAGCTGCTTTCATGTCTCTGTTCCTTAAGCTATAGATGAATGGATTTAGCATAGGAGTAACCACCATATAGAGAATGGTAGCCCTGCTGTCCCTCTCTACAGAATGAGTTGATGGAGGAAGCAAATATACGCCCATAAGGGACCCGTAGAAGAGCAGGACCACTGTGAGGTGAGAGCCACAGGTGGAGAAGGCCTTCCACCGCCCTCCGGAAGATGAGATGCTAAACACAGTCCAGGAAATACGGGCGTAGGAGAAGACAATCAGCGTAAGAGGAGTAGTGAGAAACATCAAGCCCATAGTGATGATCATGAGCTCATTAATGTAGGTGTCTGAGCAGGAAAGCTTCATTAGGGCACTTGGATCACAGTAGAAGTAAGGGATGGTCTTCTGGGCACAGAACACCAGACGAGTGAACAGCAATGTGTGCATCAGTGCAGGGCAGTTTGTTAGCAGCCAGCATATGCCCAACATCAGTGCACAGAGCTGAGGACTCATAGCCGTGCTATAATGCAGTGGCTGGCAGATAGCCACATAGCGGTCATATGCCATCACAGCCAGGAGGCAATTGTCAAGGCCACCAAACAGAAGAAGGAAATACATCTGGGATAGGCACCCAGTATAGGAAATAGTCTGGTTATGACTATAAATGTTGGCCAGCATTTTGGGGATTGAGGTCGAAGTGAAACATGCATCAGTTAATGACAGGTTGGCCAGAAAGAAGTACATAGGAGTGTGAAGATGTGGGTCACAGCTGATGGCCAGGATGATGAGCAAATTCCCCATCAGAGTGGTCAGGTACATGCCCAGGAAGATGCCAAACAGAAGTATTTGCTGGTCTGGCTGCTCAGAGAGTCCTAGAAGGAGGAAGTCTGAAACAAGAGTTTGATTCACTCTGTCTGGTTTCCCCATCCTTTGTGGCTCTTGTTATCTGTGTAGAGAAAATACTTGTATTTATCAGTTATCAAGTGTTAACTCACAGTTAAGAATCTAGTACCATCTGAGTTAGCAGAACTGTGGTATAATAAAGATAAGACCTAATACAATTTGTCACTGAGAAGCTTTGGATATGGTGGATATGCCTGAAAATATATGGAGCATTTAGATAACATCCAAGAAAATACCTTTTCAACCTATGTGCATAACGGATTATCCAGGAGGCTGGGTTCTATGAGGAGAATGTGGCAGCAGGTTTGGAGGAAGACTCATCAACAGTCTGTGTTATGCGGATGACACAACCCTGCTTGCTGAAACTGAAGAGGACCTGAAGCACTTGTTGCAGAAGGTCAAGGACTGCAACCTTCAATATGGATTGAAGCTCAACATCAGGAAAACAAAGATTCTCACCCTTGGGCCAATTATCAGCATCATGATAAATGGTGAAGAGATTGAGATTGTTAACAGCTTTAGTTTGCTTGACTCCCCAACCAATATTCTTGGTTCCAGCAGCCAGGAAATTAAAAGACAAATTGCAATGGGAAAGCGTGCTGTCAGAGACCTCTCCAAAGTATTGAAGAGCAATGATATTAGTCAGGAGATTAAGGTGTGCCTGATACAGGCCATAGTCTTTGCAATTACTTGCTGTAATTGTCCAGAGAGCTGGACAATGACTAGGGATGACAGAAGGAAAACAGCCCTGCTGCTGGACAAGAGAATTTTAATATACCATGAACTGCTAAGAGAACAAACAGGTTCATCCTGGAAAGGATGTGACCAGGCTGCTCCTTGGAGGCAAGGATTCTGAAGCTTCATCTGACATACTTTGGACATGTTGCAAGGAGGGATCAGTCCTTGGAGAGAGATGTCATGCTTGGGAAGGTTGGAGGGACAGCGCAAGAGGGGAAGACCCTTGATGAGATGAATTGATTCAGTGACTGGAGTAGTGGGGATAGGTACAATAAGATTGGCACAGGTTAGAGCAGGGTTTAAGGCTGTTGTACATAGGGGTACTATGCGTGGTAGGCAACTCAACAGCACATAACAACAACAAAGATAATAGCCATTAAAATACAATCTGTGCTTCTCCATATACTGTAGTAAGGAAGGTCTGGTGGCTTAGTGGTAAGGAGTAGGGCTGACAACCCAAAGGCTAGCAGTTCAACTCTACCAGCTGCTCCATGAAAGAAAATGAATGATTTCCTCCTGTGCGATTTCTTGCCTCTGAAAACCCACTGAACGGTCAACTTTGAGTCAGTTCAGACTCCAAGGCACAAAACAACATACTATAGTAAGATCTAGTAAAAAGATACCAGTTTGACCAGAGAAGCCTGTGTGGGCTATTGGGAGATGGCAAGATAGAAAATGTCTGCTTACCAGTTGGAATCAAGTTGCACATCTCTGTCACTTGCTTTCCCTCTCCCCAAAAACAAGGAACTGAATTAATGAAAACCAATCTCTTTCTAAATGTAAACTAAAATCAAAATTGTAAAAAGAGACCTGTGGCTGCAGATTTTCCTGATGCAATGTATAGTTTGGAGAAAAAAAAAGAAAATTATTTAAAGAGTGTCACAATATTATTTGTACATGCTTTTGCAATCCCCAATACTTCCTCTCACCCAGATTGCTCCAGTCTATGAACTTGTTTCTAACTAGGGGCCTAAGCTCTGTGGGCTGGAGTCAATGGGTGTCAGTGATGTTCTATTATTCTCACTCATTGTGGGGATAGCCTTTTTTACAAACAGAATAAGGGGTACATTTCTCCTCTATCAGTCCCTTTCCTTTGTCATTTCATTGGTAACTTTGAATCTTCTTATCAGGAAACGGATGGTTTCATCTCCCTGATCTCTTGGACATCACTGATTCAAAATTTAATTCAGTTCATTGCTGCAGCATCAGAACTGGCTTATGGCTGTCCATCCAGAGGGTTTTAGAAGCTAAAGTGGCACAGAAGGAGAGCGCTCCTCTTTCTCTCACAGAGCTGCTAGTGGGTTCGAACCTCCAGAGGTGAACCTTTGAGTTAGCATTGCGACTCCCACTGGATTACACCACTAGATTGGTACTTATTTACATAGACTAGCTAAGTATCAAACACTTATTACACTCCACAATTGTTAAAATAATGAAACACAGAAATAACTGTGGTGCCCAAGATTACGTGGCTATTAAAATATTAAAAATGTAGATTTATTGAACTCCAAAGCCCACGTTTTCTGCTCTGTGTTGGACTATGTATTTGTAATACCTATTAGAGAGAGAAAAGGTGAAAGAAATCGGGTTCTAACTCTTTGGGCTTAAAAATACCGGCTCTTGTTGTTTCTGGTTTCGCTAGGATTACTAGCTAGCTGATGTGAGAGACCAGCTCATTACTGACTTTGTAGAAGCCTTAACCTTAAGAAGCTTTTGTGGATTGTACTTCTCCACTATTTGGTTCATAGGAGAGACTTCTTGTCTACACAAATGCTCAATTTTCCATTATGTAATGTTTCCTGTGAAATAGAAATGTGTGTGTGTGTGTGTGTGTGTGTGTGTGTGTGTGTTCATGTTCTAAACCTTCTAGTTCCTCACCTGTCAGAGGATTACAGATCATTTCCAGGCATCTTTATTTTTCAGTTCTCGCCTCTCGATGAAAAATTCACAATGAGGAAACTCTCTGACTCAGAAACAGTAAAATTGGAATATGTTCAGTCCTGCTCTGATTAGTAGGACACATTTCCATCTTCTTTAGGCCTGAGAGGGCTTGAGTATTTCTAAGGGTTATAAAGATTTCTGAAGGCCATCCCCCAAAGTGTTCATTAGAGTCACCTTCAAACATCATTGTTCAGTTTGCTCTTCAGCCAGCTCTGTCTGAGTCCTGAGGGAACAGAGGGGTTCACTTATAGGTCTCAGAGGTGTGATTCTGAAGTCTCTTGCTGGGGTGGCGTGCACTTCAGCCTGATACGCTGGTCTTCAGGGAAATCTTTCCTGTGCACTGGGCAACTTAGCATCTGTCTTGTAAACTGGAGCTGAAGAAATCAGTAACTTTAACATGAGCATCTATGTTGGACATTTCATGAAATAGAATAAACCTGATATGAAGCTACCACCCAATTTAGTCCCAAACCCTATCGATTTAATAAACTATATAAAGCTAAAGTCATGTTGACACACAGCAGCTAATGAAAGGAATACTCAAGTTTTTTTGTGTTTCCATTAATATTAACCTACTGTCATTGAGTTCTGTTCAGTTAATAGTGATCCTATTACATCATTGCTGTGGATTCAAAACTGGCTCATACCTGATCCTCCTCCAGTGGTTTCTGAGGTTATAAATTGCACACAAGGAGATTGTCCATCTTTCTTTCACAAAGCCACCATAAGATTTATACTGCTAGAGAGGTGTGGCCTCTTGGCTAACAGCTCTCTATAGACTAGGCTGCAAGAGCTTGGTGGTCCTCTCAGAATGTAGAACCCCTCCATTGGATCTTCAAGGCTATGAATCTTTATGGAATCAGATGCCATATCTTTATCTCATAGATAGTATGATCAACCTTCTAGTTAATTAAACTTCCAGTGGCTAGGGAATGCCAGAACATTTGATTGTGCTTATGTGAAACCTATACTTGGGGCCAAGGGGTAGTCATCAGATCAGAGCAAGGAGACACTGCATGGTTCAAAATTGGGAAGGGCATCCACCAGGGATATGTTCTTTCTTCATCCTTTTCAATCTGTATACAGAACAGATCATCCAGGACGTTGGGCTATATGAGGAGGAATGTGGTGTTAGCATTGGTGGAAGATTCATCAACAACCTGTGTTATGCAGATGACACAACCCTGCTTGCTGAAACTGAGGAGGACCTGAAGCGCTTGCTGCAGAGGGTCAAGGACTGCATCCTTCAATATGGATTGAAGCTCAACATCAAGGAAACAAAGACTCTCACCACTGGACCAATTGGCAGCATTAGTATGGATGGTGACGAGATTGAGATAGTCAACAGTTTTAGTTTGCTTGGCTCCACAGTCAACACTCTTGGTACCAGAAGCCAGTAAATTGAATTGCAAAATTCAGCTGTCAGGGACCTCTCCAGAGTACTGAAGAGCAACGAGATCAGACTGGAGACTAAGGTGCACCTGATCCGGGCCATGGTCTTTGCAATCACTTGCTATGCATCGGAGAGCTGGACAGTGACTAGGGATGACAGAAAGAGAATTGATGCCTTTGAAATGCGGTGCTGGACAAGACTGTTAAAATGGGCTGCTAGGAGAACAAACAGATTTGTCCTAGAGAGGATGAAACTGGGCTGCTCCTTGGAGGCAAGGATTCTAAAGCTTTGTCTGACATACTTTGGGCATGTTGCAAGGAGGGACCAGTCCTTGGAGAGGGACATCACATTTGGGAGAGTGAAGGGACAGCACGGGAGGGGAAGACCCTCAAACTGGATCAATTCAGTCACTGGTGCAGTAGGAGTAGGTGTGTTGGAGACAATGAAGTTGGCACAGGATAGAGGAAGGTTTAGGGCTCCTGTACATAGGGTCGCTGTGAGTATCAAGTGACTCAATGGCAAATAACAACAAAACAGGGCCTAACTGCTGTACCTGCATGACGCTTTTTTGTTAATACTAGCTAGAACATTTTCTTTACACAGTCTCATGTAAATGAACAAAAGTTAGTATATTACAAAATATTATTAATACCGTTTTCTGATAAAACTTCTAAATGGAAAAGAAATTCCAATCTAATTTTTTCATGACTCTAGGACCCCAACACTTAGCCACTTTGCTTCATCCCAATATTATTGTTGATTTAATTATATATATATATATATATATATATATATATATATATATATCACATCTAATTCTGTTGACTTACATTTTTTGTTAATAAAAGAAATATGTATTCTTATTGTTGTTTGTTAGGTGCTACCAAGTTGACTCCAACATACAATGACTGTATGAACAAAGATCTTTACTTGGTGGTATACTGTACCATCA